TCAAAACGACAATAAGGTACCATCTCACACCTATCAGAATGGCTATCATCAACAAATCAACAAATGACAAGTGCTGGGAAGGATGTGGAGAAAAAGGAACCCTTCCTTGTACACTGCTGGTGGGAATGCAGACTGGTGCAGCCACTGTGAAAAACGGTATCTGAGTTTCCTCAAAAAATTAAAAATAGAACTCTCACTTCTAGGAATATATCCCAAGAAATCAGAAACACCTATCAGAAAGAATATATGCACCCCATATGTTCAAAGCAGCACAATTTACAACAGCTAAGATTTGGAAACAGCCTAAGTGCCCATTAGCAGATGAATGAATTAAAAAATGGTGGTACATCTACACAATGGAATACTATGTTGCTATAAAGAAGAAGGAGCTCTTACCATTTGCAACAGCATAGATGGACCTGGAGAGCCATTATGCTAAGCGAAATAAGACAGTCAGAGAAAGGTAAATATCACATTATCACATGATATCACTCATTTGTGGAATATAATGAACATAAACTGATGAACAAAAATAGATCCAGAGACATAGAAGCATCGAATGGACTGTCCAACCTTGGAAGTGGAGGAAAGATCAACCACAGGACTTCTGTGCATGCATATAACTCACGAACACAGATAAGGGGATGAGGGCATGTGCTGGGAGATGGGAACGGTTGGGGATAGGTCAATGGGGGAGGGAGAAAGGGGAGAAGGAGACATATATAATACTTTAACAATAAAGAATTAAAAAAAAACCCCACAAAGAACTCAATATCACTAATCATCAGGGTAAGGCAAATCAAAACCACAATAATTATCACCTCACACCTGTTAGAATGGCTATTATAAGACAGGAGGTAACAAATGATGGCAAGGATGTGGATGCAAGAGAACTCTTGTGCATTGTTGGTAGGGATGTATTTGGTGCAACCACATTGGGAAACAGTATGGAAGTTTCTAAAAAAGTTAAAAATAGAACTAACACATGGTCTAGCAATTCCACTCTGGGAATTTATCCAAAGAAAAGAAAAACACTAACTCAAAGAGACATATGCACCCACATGTTCACTGCAGCATTATTTATAATAGCCAAGGTATGGAAACAATCTAAATATCCATTGACAAATGAATAGATAAAGAAAATGTGGTACATATAAACATTGAAATATTACTCAGCCATAAAAAAGAATGGAATCTTGCCATTTGCAACAACATGGAGGACCTAGAGGGTATTATGTTAGGTCAGTGGTTGGCAAACTGCAGCTCAAAAGCCACACAGGGCTCTTTGGCCCTTTAAGTGTGGCTATTCCACAAAATACCATGTGCAGGCGCGCACCTACAGTGCGATTGAAACTTCGTGGCCCATGCACAGAAGTCGGTTTTCGACTCTCAAAGGAAATTTCAATTGTTGTACGGTGATATTTGGCTCTGTTGACGAATGAATTTGCTGACCACTGTGCTAGGTGAAATAAGTCAAAGAGAGATATACAAATAGCATATGTTTTCACTTATATGTGGAATCTAAAAAACAAACAAACCTTAAGCTTATAGAGTCAGAAAACTGATTGTTGTTTGCCGGAGATGGGGATGGGAGGTAAGCGAAATGAATGGAGGCAGACAAAAGGCACACACTTCCAATTGTAAAATAAATAAGTCACAGGGATGTAATGTACAGAATGGCAACTACGGTTAATAATACTTTATTGCATATTTAAGAATTGGGAGTTAAAACAAGAAATTTCCCCAGATTTAAGGCAAGTTAAATAGATGTTTTAACTGGGGAAACAGATATTAAGGCTCTAAAACAACAATGTGCATGTTCGGGTGGAAAAGAGATGTTGAAATGATGTTAAACTTTCTTATTACAACTAGATTTTAACCTTACTTTGATTTGAGGGAGGACTAAGCACTGTGTGGGGAGTATAACTCTGATGGGGGGGGGCAGGTAAGTGAAAAAGGGCAATCAAAGGTCATGAGGAGCACAGTGGCTATTTAACATAGAAACAGGTGGGAGCTTGAGAAGCACAACACCAACAATGCAAAACATCAAAAACATATAGAAAGGCTGCTCACTGATTTTATAGCTCAAGCATCTAAATCCCTTGAAATATTTGGGACAAAGGTTAAGTCATAACCTGAAGAGAGAGAGACAGACAGACACACTAACTCTGCACCAAAGCAAAATGAATGAGCAGAGCTCTCACTAAGACCAGGGAGAAAGTAAAGAAGAAAATAGAGAAGTTTTCAAAGTGAGGCATGATAGAAGGAAGTTAGTTGCCTAGCATGATTTACTTTTATTAATTTAGCATGATAGAATGCCATGTGTTCTCTTCATATGATCTTTTATTTATATTGGTAAATGGAAAGCATAAAAATTTTTAAAGTTTGCTTACAACCTTCAACCACCATCTATATTTTCTATTGAAGATCCTATTTCTCACCTGGGAATTCTGCTCCCAGAGGGCTGTGAGGAAGCTACATTTTAGAGCTGAATGTAAACTACATACAGTAAATGACCTAGCCCTTCAATTATACCAAGTTAATTGGTATTAGAACAATTCTATTCAAGAAACTTTTTTCAGCATGTTTTCAACATCAATCTTTAATGTTAATCTACTTAGTGTTTCTAACCATTTTTCAGTTTTCATCATAGAAATCAATATTTTCTTTCTTTTTAATTTTTATAATACTTTCAACAATAAAGATTTAAAAGAAAAAATATTTAGTTTATAAACAAATGAAAAACAAGTTTGAGAAAATACATTACTTCTATTGAATGAGTGTTTTATGAGACTGAAAAGGCAAAAGATTTATGCGGTCTGAAGAGAAACCAGAGCATAAATGAATGAATGTTTTAAATGTCAGCATTTTGTAGTCTCAAAATAAATAAATTATTTTAAACTAGAGGCCTGGAGCACGAAATTCATGCACAGGTATGTGTGTCCCTCAGCCCAGCCTGCTCCTTATCCAATCTGGGACTCTGAGAGGGATTTCCAATCCCTAAATGGGCAGCCAGACATCTTTCTCACATCCTGGACTGCTGGCTCCCAACCACTTGCCTGCCTGATTGCTCCTAACCACTTCCACCTACCAGCCTGATCACCCCCTAACCACTCCCCTGACAGCTTGATCAATGCCTAACTGTGACCCTGCTGGCCCGATTGCCCCAAGTGCCCTCCCCTGATGTTCTGGTTGACCCTGACTGCCCTCCCCTGCCAACCTGATCACCCCTAACTATCCTCCCCTGCAGGCATGGTTGCCCCTAACTTCCCTCCCCAGGAGGCCTGATTGCCCTCAACTTCCCTCCCTTGCAGGCCTGGTCCCCACAACTGCCTTTGCCTGCAGGCCTGGTCAACCCTTAGTGCCCTCCTCTGCCAGCCTGGTCAACCCTATTACCCTCCCCGCAGGCCCTATTGTCCCAACTGCCCTCACTTTCAGGCCTGGTCCTTCCCAACTGCCCTCTGCTGCTGGCCTGATCACCCACAACTGCCCTCCCCTGCTGGCCATCTTATGGGGCCATCTTGGGGCCAGCCAAGTTGTGTGTGGAGTGATGGTCAATTTGCATATTACCTCTTTATTATATGTGATTATATAGGATAAAGCCTTTCTTTTCCAGAGGAAAACACTTTCATTTTCTATCCTGATAAATCACAATCTTACATTTGGAAATAAATTGCTTTTATAATGTGGTGTTTTTCTTTTTTACCAAAGTAAAAACAAAGATTGACTCATAACATATGTCTCATATAGATGATTAAAATACGACAAAGTATAAGTGATTGCAAAGCAGGTGTTGACGTATGCATTCCACATTTTAACAGATAACATCAGTCTGTATCTGACACCTCAAATCCATGAGGAAAATCAGCCCTACTCTATTCTCCCTATCATCTGGAAGTGGGCTGTGCTTCCAAGGCTGATTACCACCCCAGAACCTAGTCTCACTAATCCATGGCCTCCAAGACCTAGGGCTGTGCCAGTGCAGTCAGTGTTTCAGACACCATAAGCAGTGCCTGTGGCTGACGGGTGAGTGCTGCGCTCATGCAGGCATACGGTGGGCCCTACAGTCCCCAGTATGTAGGCAGGTAAGCCCAGAAGAGCCAGCTAAGGAGCAGTGTCTAAGGACACGGTCGGTTTCACAGGTGAAGCTGGCCAGAAGTGAGGCTCACACAGGAGAATATTCTATTATATCTTTTTCCCTGGATGAAACCCGAGCATAATTTTTTTTAAAAAAAATCAAGCTTATGTCTCATCATGGGTGAAATGCTTTTTCCACTTAGAATTATCCAACAAAGTCATTAAAAGGAGGCTATGAAACATCTGTCCTAAATTGCCCACCCCATATCTGGCCATAAGATGCATAGAACAGTAGTAACTGCTGGGCAAATAAAACTCAAAGTTAAAAAAAAAAATACTCTAATCTTATGCATACAAATGCAGTAAGAGCCATTTGGTCTTTTAGTTATGAAGCTGATTTCTTTGCAAAGCTGCAGCGAACAGTGTGTAAATAACGACAACCTGCTTTGCCACAGCTCCTTATCTATGGAACACAGGGATGGGGGTCTCCCTCGTACGCTTGTTTCCAAATATTTATAGACTGCGTTAATTGTACTGAATGAAGAATTAAGGAATAGCTTGTTTCTCTTGTTTTCTGCAAAAGCATTTTGCAAACAGATTTTGTTTCTTCTGAATTATATGTCAAAGAGCTTAGATACACAATAACTATCAATCTCCTCTAAAACGATTAATATCAAGAATTTCACACATTCCAACATTTTGTTAGAATGATGATCACTAAGTTTTTGGAACCATTTCTGGATTTTACTAAAAAAATTTTAATAATTTTCATATTTAAACCAAATGATTTTCCTAAAATATCTCCTTTCAGATTCCATTTATTTCAGGACCAGAAATAAAAGCAGTACAAACATAAACTAACCACTCTGAAAGGGGCAGGTGTGTGTGTAAGCAAACAAGGAAGACGAGCCTTATAGGATTACCGTAGGTGAGGATGTACAAGGGTTTCCCATTTGTGTCCATCGTAGTCAAGCACGGGGCCTTTGGTGAGATGGTTCCCCATCGCTGTAATGCAGCTTCTAAAGACGGGGGCCAATTCGTAACCACACCTAGCTGCTCCCCTCGCATAGCTAACATCTGTGCTCCTTCCGGCTTTGGCTGGTTCGGATCTGGTTGTTGAACTAAACACATGTGGACACAAAAAGTTAAAAAAAAATATACTCATATTGGCACAATCATGATTTTATTCATTTTAAAGGAGCTAGGAGGCTTATACTTAAGGTATAAACTTATTAATGCACAGAAAACATGTTTTCCTAGAATCAGGGCTATGACCTATATATTAGCCTCATGAATGTAAAAGAGATACTTACTTCTTACAAATTTCCTAGGCAATTTGGGTGAGGTGCTTAAAGAGACCCGAGTGCATTTATAAACTGACGGCAAGTAAAGCTGTGTATCTAAACATGCCTAGGGTGTAGGGTTGCAACAAATACTATGTTAAAAATATCAATTATTGCCCGGCTGGTGTGACTCAGTGATTGACTGTCAACTTGTGATCCAGGAGGTCATGGTTCCTTTCATTCTTGGTCAGGGCTCATTTCTGTATTGCAGGCTTAATCCCCTGTCAAGGCCTGAGGGAGGCAGCCAATCAATGATTTGCTCTCATCACTGATGTTTTTCTCTCTCTCCCCCTTCCCTTCCTCTCTGAAATCAATAAAATTAAAAAAAAATTAATTATCAACATAGACTAGTAATTCTGGACTCAAAAAAAAAAAGTAACTCAAATCTTTTGAGCTGAATTATATTTTGCCCTTAAATACTGAGGTGTAAATTTAAATTTGCTACAATTACAACATTGAGCACAGACCATATTTTCTTGAGTAAAACAAAAATAAATGCTTCCCAATAAAATACAACTTGCCTAACTGTTTGGAAAGGTGAGAAGCTGAGTTTCTTTTTTCTCACTTCTGGAAGAGGTTTTTCTCTCCCAGTGTATGACTGACCGTTTTCACCTGCTGGGCAGAATCAGCTATATCTTTACTTGTGATGTAAAGAACAAGAACACACAGAGTTTGCATTTGATATAAGTATTTTGCTTTGTCTTTGAGTGGTTTGTGTTAATAGGCTTGTAAGCACTTGGGGGTTAAGATACTGACTGCTGGGTTTCTATGGAGCAACAGTGAATGGGACTTGCTGCACGCTCACTGCATTCCTCTTAAACTTATTCAGAGGGCACTGTGTCACTGTTGGCAAGGTTTTCTATGATTTGCTTACATTCCTAGAAGACATCAGAGTCCTTAGAAAGAAGCCTGGCTTGTGGGATGTACTTGAGTACTTTACAGGACCTTGCAGGAACAGTACCTACGGGCTCTAGATAAGATTCCGTCTTGTTCTTAAAAAGGAAAATAGCCATGGTAGAAAAAATACCATTATAGTTTATAGGATCACAAGGACATTGGAATAAATGGGGGCGAAAAAGGGTTCTTTTACCTTCTAACAATTCTTCAAAGTCATCAACAAAGAATTCTCGTAATGGTGGTCGTTTTGGTCGTTTGAGGGTATTGACAAGCTGTTGAATTTTTGCTGATACCCGGCTACTTACGGGCACTCCTGAAAAACAGAACCACAGGCAGATGGGCTTTAATCCAAGCACCACAGTGAAATGGCCACGACACCCACATCCACTGCCCCATTTCAGGGCTGAAAGAAGCAGGGATGGGCTTGAGACCCAGTGTCCCACAAAGTGTCACCTCGGAGATGTGCAGAGTGGAGACATTCTACCGGGTGGACAGTCACGGCACACTGACCCTGCTGGGAACCCGCAAGAGGGTAGAGACTCAGCAGAAACAATTTTCATTTACAGCTCCATGAGCCATCCTGATTTGGCGATGTGAGGAAGAGCTCCAACCACAGGCTGGGCTTGGTCCCACCTCTACTTCCTAACAGGGCTTGTCACCTTCTCACTAACACTGTCTCTGGCCTCCTCTTTCTAAGGGGGTGAGAGACCTGATGAAGCAGAGAGACCCTCCCTGAGTCCTCGACTCTCCTGAGATCCCTGGTGCTTGGCCTCACTGGGTGAAGAGAACGTTTTGCTGGAGACAGTGAATTTGGGTGAACTGTAGCATCTGCATAGTCAGCCCCGACACCGACCTCCTAACCAAAGCAAGGGGATTGCTTTCTATAATACAAGCGTGTTGGCAGGCCCTGTCCACACAGGTGTCCACCGAGTTCCTCCAGAGGGTTCCAGTCACTCTCTCCTGAGTAAATATTCAGGCAATACATTCTAGAAGCACAGAAATTAGTCTCTAATTCAATTTCTGTGTAACACAAAACACTATCCACATGTACTGAGAAACATTTATGCCAAGTTATAATAACATATTTCTTACAATGAATGACATTTTGAAAACTGAGTAAGTGAAATGATTAGTGAAAAAGACAAGAAGTTTTAAAATTTAAAGTAAATAACCCAAATTCTGAATAAAAGAAGTGCCAAGATGTTGTGCACTGGGTAACTATGGGTGTGGAAGCTCACTGCTCTCATAGTCTAAGAACCACAGTTGAAGGGGGTCTCCCCATAATGACTGAGGCAGAGCCCTCCTTCTCCATTGCAGGTATCATAAAAACAGAACTCAGCTTTTGACATGAATATGATAGAATTCAAGGAAACTTTTCTATCAAATCAGAAACATTTTCATAGGTAATCTCAAACTACTCTATGGGCACCTTCAGAATTGAGACATTTTATATTTTATAGTTTTGAAAATATGTAAAAATACACAACCCAGATTTCTCAGTCTCTAAACAGGATATTTCTCATTAAATAGTTCATCTTAATTTGGTTCAGATGAATCGGAAATCATTTCACAAGGCCACTGGTTCCCCAGCTCAGTTTAGAATGTGTAAGAATCATTTTAGGACTTGTCTCGCCCAGAGTTTCTGATGTCATAGGTTTTGGGGATGGCCCAGAACTTGCTTTTTAACAAGGGCCCCAAGTGATTCTGAGAGGAGAGGTCATCACACTGAAAAACTCTGGGCTGCACAATATGTGACTCAAATGGACAACATACAAACGAACTTACCTGGGAGAGCAGGTAAGGATTATGGACATCAAAAAACAATAGTTATTAAATTGATAATGACTAGAACAACAGCAATGACCCATTTAATATAGCGTGAGTTTAGCAGAGAACTAAGGCAAACTCTGAGACTGAAAATTTCCCAGGGAAGCCCATCTCATGGGAACTGGAGTGACTTTTAAGGCACTCCTGGGAGCTCCTGAACCACACTGACTTTGGGCTCTGGCCATGCTGAGAGGCATGCTGCCTATCAGTGACTGGGTCCAGGCCTTCCTCACCACCTCTGTATCATACAGCGGCACAGCCATAGCACAGCTGGATGGATGGCACATCGATGCTACTTTGGCCATCTTCCACAGAAACACCATTTCATGTCCCCACTGGGTTCCATGCTAACCTTTGTGAGCCTGGGAAGGACTGAGGCTGCAGAAAAGCAGAATCAGCATGTTTACTATGCTGCTTCAGATGGGGTCATAGAAACGGTCACTCTATATATAAGATCCATGATATGAGGAATAAAGAAGAACCCCACTGCTGAAATTTATCAAATCACTAATATTTTTTCCCAATACGAAGAAAAAAAAGCCACTCTTTCTTCCAAATTCCAACACATTCCATTGGCCCAGAGCTGTCAATTTGTTTACACGTAACTTTATCCTGCCCTTCTAAGTAACCATTCATAGTCTTAACACTTGCACACTAATTTGTAAATTGCTGAGCCTACTTTAATTATTCGTTAAAAAATACACTGGAATCTTATAAAATTTCCTTTTCTTCTCATGACTAAATCCTTATAACATTATAATTTTTTTTTCCTACAAGGAGTAATTCTTGCCAACTTGGAGATAGTTTGCATTTTCTGTGACTATACCACCATCTATGGGTGGTGAGAAAAGAACTTCATAAATTAGATTCAGTGAGTTGGCCTTATGGTTTCAAAGGTAAGTTAGTAAAAAGAGAGTTTACAAAGGAGGGAAGGAAATGCTGGAGACCTACCATCGCCAGTCTCCATGAGCTCGGCATTGCCGTACTTTGGTGCAGTCCGTGATGTCGTTGAGCCTTGTGGCCTTTCTATTTGTATTGAGTGCTCTGAGGTGTACGTGGTTACATCAGGAGGTGCAGAGTGATTTTCTGTAAAGAAGCAAATGATAAATTCTTGGATGGTCATGATAGAGTTATTTTGAAGGCTAAGTAAGCAACAGGGTTTCAAAAAAGGCCACATCCTGAGAAGAGACCATAATTCTGAATCAAAGCCTACTACAAAAATTTGTATTGCTCAAAATGAAACAAAGTTAGGTAAAATTTCAGACATGTCATAACAGGAGCCACATCAATGAATCACTATAGCATTTTACCACATTGCGGGCCAGTAGTTTAATTGCTAGCTTTATCCAATGGCCAATAAGTTTCTATTGAACAAGTACAAAAGACGTTTTACATAAATGTTAAAGGCACACTTTAAAATTAAATACCCCTTGCATTTTGAAGTTATTTATTACATGTTTTTACAAGCTCATAGCTTTTTAAAGAATTCTCGTGGTTGACCACAGCCTTAGAACAGAAAACACAAGAATTCTCATGATCCAGCTGCAATGTGTTAAGAATAATGTTCTTAAGCAGAAGGTAGAAAAAGTGTTATTGAAAGTTACATGTTTTTTCACAAAGAGTAATTTTCTTGTCTGTCATGGTAGTGGCAGTTAAGAGCTCAAGCTTTGGAGGCAGAGAGCCTAGGGTTTGAATCCCAGCTCTGCCAATTCCTCCACATCTTGGAAGTGTCTTAACTTCTCTGTGCCTCAGTCTCCTCACCTATCAAATGGGAATAATAATGCTGACTTCCAGCCTGGCTGGTATGGCTCAGTAGATAGAGCGCCAGCTTGCAGACCAAAAGGTTCTGGGTTCAATTCTAGTCAAGGGCACATACCTCGGTTGCAGGCTCCTCCCAGGCCCAGGCCCTGGTCGGGGCTTGTGCAGGAGGCAACCAATCGATGGGTTTCTCTCATACTGATATTTCTGTCTTTTCTTCTTTCTTCCACTCTCTCTAAAAAAAAAAAAAACAATGGAAAAATATCCTCGGATGAGGATTAAAAAAAAATAATAATAATACTGATTTCCTTGCAGGGGAGATGAGTTAATAGATGTAAAGTTTTTAGGACATTTCTTGATAGAGGCTGAGCACTCAAAAAATATTAGCAATTTTGTTTGTTTCAGCATGAATAATACTGGACAGTCATTCAAAAAGTCCTGGCTGGGTGGCTCAGTTGGTTTGGAGCATTATCCAGTACACAGAAAGGTTGCAGGTGCAATTCGCAGTCAGGGCATATACATGGGTTGTAGGTTTGATCCCTGATCGGGGGGAATACAGGAGGCAACAGATTGATGTTTCTCTCTCCTATTGATGTTTCTGTTTCTCTCTCTCTCTCTCTCTCTCTCTCTCTCTCTCTCTCTCTCTCTCTCTCACACACACACACACACACACACACACACACACAATGAAAACATATCCTAGGTGAGGATTTTTAAAAAAATCATGTGTTTACAATCTCACGTGCATTGGTGATGGTTACGCAGTGAGTTGTGCAGCAGGCCTTCCCCACAGCATTCATCAATGGTGTTATCATCAAGCACTTAAATGGTTCAGTGGGGAAAGCACAGTTCTTGTATTTATTTATTTATTTTATTTTTTAATTGTACTTAACATTGAGTATTATTTTGTATTAAGTTTCAGGTACACGCCGAAACCGGTTTGGCTCAATGGATAGAGCGTTGGCTTGGGGACTGAAAGGTCCCGGGTTCGATTCCGGTCAAGGGCATGTACCTTGGTTGTGGGCATATCCCCAGTAGGGGGTGTGCAAGAGGCAGCTGATCGATGACTCTCATCGATGTTTCTAATTCTCTATCTCTCTCCCTTCCTCTCTGTACAAAATCAATAAAATACATTAAAAAAAAAAAGACTGCTTTTAAAAAAAAAAGTTTCAGGTACACAGCATAGGGTTAGACCATCATATACTTTACAAAAGATTCCCCCAATATTTATTATATAAGGCATTCAGGAAAACACGTCAAATGATGCTATCAAGGACATTTTCTATATCCTGGGTCCTAATAATGGATATTAGGCTATTAATTTTGAGTCGTTAAACCTTGTTAGGTTCCACGTGATGGGAGCTATTTCTTAGTGCCGCATGTAAAAAGGGGAGCCAGCATTGGAAAGCCTCCTCCTTCAGGTACTCCCTCTTCAGCACCACAAGTGGGGGTGAGGGCTGCATAAACAGTGATATCACCAACAAAAAGCACAAGAGGAAACACAGGACACCAATCAGCCTCTGTAAAGGGCACTGCTCACAGTCTGAGGGCTGGAACAAGAAGGCAGAACGTCCCTTCTGCTGGGAACATGCCTGTCAGGGACTCAAAGTTTTGCTGCTTTGCTAACTTTTATATTTGACCTCGAGGAGGCCGCGCATACTGCTTTGGGGTTACAAATAATTTTAACAAAGTAGGTGGATCACTAAGGGGAAGTAGGAGGGAGAAAAGAGTATCATTCAAATTGCCTCTTCAATGATTCAGAGACTGTTCATCCTCTCATCACCCCTACCCATGCTTTTGCCAAATAGACCTTATTTCATGTTGCAAAATGCTCTAACTCTCCATAGCCAAGTATAATAATACACTCACTGGGGCCTCATATTTCAGATGAAAATACAATGGATGCTGATGTATGCTGAGCAGACTTTCAAATTAGCACCTAAAACGGAAGTAGCTATAACATGCATTCACTGCATTGCGATTTTATCCAGATTCACTGGTGCTTAAGTGACACAGTAGCCTCATCACTGATGATGGACGGCCAATCTGTCTTTGTGCTGGGCGGCAGGAATACTGTCATGTATGTTCCACTCTGAAGTTGGGAAAAATAATGATTCCAATATAGCTGGTGATAATAAAGCAGGAACAGTGACAGCCGGGTGACTTCAAAGTGCTTTCCAAACTTACTTAGTTGTCACTTCCCCTCCTGCCCCTTACCCCATTCCTAGGGGGTGCTGTCACCCTGGGATCACCAGCCCAGCAGCTGCTCCTGTGAGGAGCCAGAGGACGTGCTGATGTTGCTGTGACACACTGTACCCTGCTTTATTTTCATAAAGATCAGGACGTGAGTTTTTACCGAGGCTACCTATCTTTCGGGGAGTATTAGAAAAGTCCTGTATATAAAATGCTCAGGAAACACTTGTCAGTGGGTAAGCAAAAGTGGAGCTGGGTGGATGCTGCAGGTTTGAATGTCTAAGATGCTCGCCAGCTCCAGGCACGCGGCCAGTGGAGTCCAAGTGTCAGAAGCGCTATGTAGATTAAGAACCCTCATTAGAGCGGGATTGTATCTTTTGAGCAAGAAGGCCCACTGTTCCTGTGATCAGTTTCACAGTACTTTAAATTGAGAATGGCAGCCATCCTTCCTGCCACTTATCAAGTGTCATCTCTACTGTGAGCGCCCAGAGAACTACCCGTGACACCTTCTCATCTGCCCGCCATGGGATGGGTTCGGCTTCATCTGCCCTTGCGTGGTGTTTGTTGTCAGCAGTGACACGGTTCCCTGTGAACCAGGAGTTCAGGCTGGGCACACGAGGAGGCAGGAGGGCAGTGCAATTCCACCATCTTTCATGGCAGGATCTGCATGCTACTCTGGCGCCATCTGTACCAGGGTTTCCACCTCGGTCCTTGACACCCACCTCCGCCCCACACAGGGTTTTAGTCTGTTACTCTTGCCAGCAATCCACCCCGTTGCACAGCTGTTTTTGGCCATGACCATTTCAGGGTCCTGGCTGGTCTCCCTGCTGAACCGACCTTGGAAATCGCTGCTTCCTCCACTTCTAATTACTGTCTCAGTCGGGCTCCCTGTGTCCTACTCAGGGTCTGACATTACCTACACCCAGCCCACACTGTCTGCTCAGTAAATGCTGCAGGAATAGTTCAAAGAATGAATTAAAGAGCACTTGACAACTTGATAAAATGCCTCCAGTTCTAATACCTGCTGGAAAGAATTATCCTTTAATTCTAACTGTTTGAACTGGAATCTCAGGGTCATGGTGATAAACCCCACTTTTAAGGTATGTTAATTATTTTTATGTCCCCAAATAACTTCAGCCCCCAAATAAAGAGAAGTAGGAAAATTGGTTTTTATATGTAAAAAGCAACATGCTCATGGTTCACTAATTGGTGATGCATAGTAACATGTTCAAAGGAACCCAAGGGTCTGTACACTAAGAATGCCCTATCCCAGGTTCCCTCAACTCGACCACTGCTGTCACTGAGCAGGTACCTGTGACCCAGGCCCTCATATCACCTGGCCTGCCCAGCTGCCCCAGCTTCCTAAGATGACATGACCATGCCCTCCACATGGTGATGGAAAACCAGCTCCCTGGATGAAAATGTGAAGGTGAACAAAGTTTTACCATCAGCCATGATTCTGACAAAATACAACACATGATAAAAGGAACATACAGGATGAGGGGAAGAGCCAGCCCTTGTGGGAGTTGAGCATCAGCCCTGCTGCTGGGGATCAGGCTGGACTGCTCGCTGCTATGACCCATCTCTCAACTGCAACCAATCAGGAGAGAAGCATTCCTCCTCAGTTTCACCAGTAACTTCCACTTTCACTGCGTCTCATGGAAGGCACCTCAATGGGTCTCATGGAAGGCACCTTACAGGGAAGCTCTAACTAGTGTCTTGACCAAAAGTGGCACATGACATTATAGCATGTGAGGATTTATCATATTCCTTCAACTAAGGCCCGATGAATGAAATTTGTGCACTTGAGGTGGGGGGGGGGCAGCCTTCAGCCCAGCCTGCACCCTCTCACAGACTGGGAGCCCTCAGGGGCCCTCGGCCAGACATCCTTAGTGTGGCCATGGAAGCAGGAAAAGCTCCCGCCATGCTGCTACGCTCGCCAGCTATGAACCTGGCTTCTGACTGAGCAGTGCTCTCCCTGTGGGAGCACACTGACCACCAGGGGGCAGCTCCTGAGTTGAGCATGTGCTCCCTGGTGGTCAGTGTGCATCATAGCGACAGGTCATTCCACAGTTCAGTTGATTTACATATTAGCCTTTTATCATATAGGATTACCACTCCAGGACAGAACAATA